ATAAGGTTAACTTAAATATATTACTAATATCTTAGTAAGCTAATTATAAAAAGTATAAATAATATTAATTACTTTAAATTAATTTTAAGGTATTATATATAAAATCTTTTTAAAGTTACTACTTAACTTAATCTATTAACTTAATTAAACTTAAAAATAGTATTTTATATATTTTTATAAGGTATTAGTTTATTATATTCTTAATTAAGTTTCTAAAAGGGGTACTTATTAAGTCTAAGCTAATCTTAAAAGAATATTAAATTTCTATTACTATTAATCTATTAATACTAAAATATTTAGTCTTTATTAATAATATAATATTAAACCTAATTAAACTAAGGCTTATATAATAATAAGATCTTAAGAAGTTCTAGGCTTAGTTTATAATTATAATTATTTTATAACTTATACTAAAAGAACTTTTTAGCTTACTAATTTTAATAAAAAGTATTATTTTTATTTTATTATTTTTTTTTTCTTTTTATATCTTATAAGCTTTTTTCTTTAATTAAGCTTACTTAATACTTATTTACAAAAAAATTACTTATATAAAAAGTTTATTTAGCTATATTATATTATTATAACTAGTTATTTATTTTTTTATTTTTTTAAAAAATCCTATTTTTCTTAAGTCTTATTTATTATAGTTTCTTAAAGTTAAGCTTACTTTTATATCTAAAACTAAGTCTAATTAAGTTAAAAATATTATTTCTTTTATATCTTTTTAATAATATATTTTATTATTTAAAGCTCTTTTTAAAATATAAATACTAGATTTATTATATAATTAAAATAAAATAATAAAAAAATTAGTAATTTAATTTTACTATAAAGTACTATTAAAACTATATAAAATAAAAGAAGCTAATAAGTAAATAGTTAATATATAAACTATACTAAACACTAAGGTCCTAATATTATTATAAGTATACCTAAAGTAACTAATTACCTTAAGTAACTACTTTAACGCCTAGACTATAAGATACTACTCTTTTCAGGTTCTCCTTAGCCTAATCAAGGCTATAAGCAAACCAGAAAAGTATATCCTTTACGTCTTACAGTCTATTTAGATTTGCTTTTATTACTAAGTAGTATATATATATATATTATGATCTCTAGAGAAAAAGGATACCCTCCTAGACCTTAGAGGTCTAGTCAGGCCTAAGAAAATAAAGCAATAGTCACTTATTACATGTCTTGTTTAGATATTAAAGTAATAAATTTGTTTGTGTCTGTCTAAGTGCCTGTCTAAAGATATCAAGCTTGTCTGTCTGCTTAATGATGAGATCCTAATCTCTGTGATAGTATTTGACTAGAGCCCCCTTTTGTACTTGGAAGGGTCCTGCTTAGTCACGTCTAATCAGGCCTGTGATTATGTCTGTAGGCTGATAAAAGGAAAAATGAAAACGCAAAACCCTGCCCCTTTCTAGTATCTTGTCTAAGAGTATCTCTAATACATTTATTAAATTCTTATCTAGATTATCTTATCTGACTTATACAAAGAATAAACTTATCTAATCTATCTAATAGAAAGTATAGTTAATATTAATATTAAATTATATTTCTAATATATTATATATTTTATTTTATTTTCTTATTAGTCTAATATAATAAAAATAAAACTCTTCTATATAATCAGCTAAAATATTAAGAAATACTATATAATATTAGTCTTTAGTAATCCTAAAGCGTTAACAAAAACTAATAAAGACCTTTACCTTATTATATAAAATATTATATAACTTACCTATATAATTCTTATCCTTTCTCTATCCCTTTTAAAAGATTAAAATTATAATTAGCTTATATAATCTATTCTAGATGATTTATTTTAGTAGTAAGTCATAAATACTATCTCTTTAATATAAAGGTATTATATAACCCTAGATTTATAAAAAACTCTTAACCTTTTATATAAATCTTATTTTAAAAAGCATATTTCTTAAAGCTAATTATAACTACTCTTGTATAATTAATATTTAAGTTATCTATATATTATACAAAAGCTTAATTAGCTCTATTATTAGTTTAGCTATATTCTAAGATAAAGTTAATTCAAGGTTTTAAACAAGTATTTAAGTTATTATAACTATATAACTTAATATAAGTACTATATAAATAGAAAGCTATTCTTCTTACTTATTAAACTTCCTTCTAATATTCTTAATAAATTTAATTAACTATTAATTCATATTTCTTATTAACAGTAATTAAAATCCCTTTAGCTTAATAAATTATATAAACTCTACCCTAAATACATAATAGACCTTTTCTTATTAAAAAGTAAACTATTTATTAAAATCTTTATATAATAATATTATTAAGTTTTTTTTTAATTACTTAAAATAAAGTATTTCTATATTAATATATATAATATATATAGTTATCTCTTCTTTAGATAGTACTTATATAATATTAACTAGATTTCTTTAGCATCTAGGATTTATAGTCTTCTTTTATATATATAATAAAACTTTACTCTTTACACTTATTTCTTTATATATTAATAAATATCTATTAATATTATTATATTAGCTTTAATAATTATCTTCTAGATCCTTTTAAAAAGCTATATTATATTCAGTAGTTATTTTATATTATATAATATTAAAATTAGTTTATTTAGTACTATAATATATACTTTATATTTTATATATAATATAATAAAGATTCTTATTTAGTTTAACTTAATAAATAATAATAAGAATTTATTTTATATAATAATAAAACAAAAATCATTTTTATCTTATTTATTTAGTTTAACTTAGTAAATAATAATAAATAGAATTAAAGCTTCTTAGTATAAAAGACTTTCTAGTATAACCCCTTAAGTATCCCTAAGGATTTCTTACTTTACATAAAGTACAAGACTACCTAATAGCCTAGCTATAAAGCCTAAGTCTTATCTCTTTACTTTTACTAATTTATAATTATATAAAGCAATTATATAAATTACTAAACAACCATTAATTAGTATTAAATAAATTCTTTTTTCTTAAAAGAACCTATTTATATAATCATACTTAAATTAAAGTTAAAATAAACCAAAAATATATTTTCTATAATTATCTTCCTAACTATAAGACTTAGCTTTTATATATAAAATATATAATCTTATATATCCCTAAGTTAGTTCAGCATAAATATACTTTTAATCCCCTTAATAGTTAACTAAGAGCTAAATATCTAGTCTATGCCCTCTGCCATAATATATGTCCCTGAGTCGTGCGTGTCATATAACCAGCTGGTGCTGTTATTCCAACAAAATTATTAAATAAGCTAAATAGTAATAGTTTTTTACTATAAGTATTAGTTTTTAATAAAAGTTTAGCTTAAGTTACCTAAGTATTAGAGTATAAAGCTATTTATAAGTATAATTAGTAAAAGAAACTCCTAGGCAAGAGCTTACTAGCCTTCTTAATAAATAAGGTAATGTTATTAATAATAAGACCTTATTTAGTCACTAATATTAATACTATTTATCTTATAATTATATTAGTTAATTAGCTTTAGAACTAACTAGTAAGTCTTTTTAGACAATATTAAAGCCAAAGAGCTGCTAAATAGCCCGTTTAGCAGTAGTATCTCTAGTTGGCTAGTAATAGCAATAAATAACCTTTTCCTTTATACAGGCCTAAAAGACAATTATAAAAAAAAGCACAACGGTATTATCCTTCTAGCTAAACTAGTTAACTTATATTAATAAAAACTTATTAGTAAAAGTTATTTATAAAAAAGACATTTAGTTATATATACTAACCCATTAAATATTAAAGTAGTTTAAATTTTGCCCTAAGAAATACCTTAGCCTTTAGTATTCTTCTTAACAATAAAGGCTATATCTATACTACTATTTCTTTAGTAAGTACCAAAAGCTCTAACACTAAGCTACTAAAAAGCCTAAAAAAGCTAAATAAACAAAAAAAAGTTATTTAAAAACATATAATAGGTTACTAGCTAGATTAGGCTAATAAGGGTTATTTGGAGATTTGGTAAGCGAAAGCTGAACCGTGCCCAGCCAAGTCCATTGATTTAGGCCCACAGATTAATTAGGTGACAACTTCCCTGCCTTGGCTGCCTCCCACCTTCGTCTCTTCGAGCATCTCAATCGCCCTGTCTGTGTCTAACCGATGCTATCTTTTCATTTCCTCTTTTTTCCTACTGCCCTGATAGGAATACATGTTTGCAAAATACAGTTCAATCAATGCAACCCCATAGAAGCTGCAACAGGTACAGAATAACGAAATCATCAACCCCTCGACTTCTCTTCTAGTATTCGTGCCGAGCGCATTATTAATCCGAATTTTTGCACGCAACTAGGGTAACAGGACGTAGCGAAGCCAGCATCTAGCTCGATGCGTAGCATCTCGGGCGCTAAACTCACTGTTAAAGTTTAGCACCCTCTACCGCTCTTTCTTTGGCCTAGCATCAGGTTTGTAGTTGCGCCTAATTCCAGCCGTCTGGATCCGGCCTGGTGTCAGCGCCACCGTTTATCGCCTTCCTAACCCTGCCGTTTCTGGTTTGCACCCGATGACAATGTGACAAGCATGAACTTTCTTTTAGTCTCCTTCCCTATTTCGGACTCCATCTCTAAATTTCCTCTTTGTTTAGAAGCCCTGCTTCACGATATCTCATCTCCAGTTTCCTAAAGCAGCTTCAGGCCATGTGTCTCACTCATTCGAGTAGTTGTTTCTCAAATGTCTACCCTAATCTTCCAGTTTTCTCCAAATTGTCTCCAACTAGCCCCAGAGCATTCTTATTCTCACTAGCCACTCCAGTGCTCTCTATATTGCGACGATCTACTCTTCCTCTACAAAACAGTTCACCTCGTCCCCAGACCCACATCCCAGCGCGGGTTTCTATGGACCTTTTGCAACTTCTCAAACTCCCCATTCCTCAACCAGGTACGGTCGCTCACGAATCGATTCAACTGGCAACTGTCTATGACCATGAGCCTGTCCGAGGGGCGGCTAGGAACAAAAACCCACCGACGTGTAGGAATGTCACCCAGAACAGAGCGCACAATACCATTCTTGGCCCCTCTACTCTTCCTCCTAACCCTACTCCTGTTCCTGCAGCCAACGGCAGCACAAGATCCCGTCGGTGACTTTTGCCGACGCTTCGGACACCAATCAGCTGTTGTTGACAACCAGTTGTTCATCGATGGTGGCCTCGTCAATTGGGACCCGATCTCAGCTTTCAACGCCAATTACTCGAGTAAGTGAGGACCTCGCACATCAACTTATGAAGCTTTTACTTTTTGGATGAGAGAGACCATCAGCCTAAACTTTTACTAACAGATCTCAGATGGATACTTTCTCTATCAAGACCTCTCAACAACGGCTACCTCGGGTGTACCCCCTCTCTATGCAAACCTCTCCAAGAACTATTCCATTCCCCGCGTCTCAGGCGGTGCCCTCTGGTCAGACTCCGTCAATAAGCGTCTATACCTCTTTGGTGGCGAGCAAAGGAAGGAGGTACCCCCAATGCCCTTTAGCCTTTATGGATACGACATTTTGAACAATCTGTGGAGCAAGTTCGGTCCATCTAGGAATGGGGACTCAATGACTGCAGTAAGCTTTGGTGCTGGAGCTTCTGTAGACAGCCGCGGCGAAGCATACTACTTTGGCGGATGGCTGAGTAACCGCTCTGTGTCCGACTGGGGCAATGCTCCGCCGGTGGCCACAACAGGGATGGTGAGATACAACATGGACACAAACAGCTTCTCCAACATCACTGGGTAAGTGAATTGCTTCAGATACATCCTAGCCCGCGACGGGACTGACGATCTCACAGGCCAGACAAGACAAGGCGCGCTGAAGGTAGTCTACATTATATTCCTGCTGGGCCTGGTGGAATGTTGATCTACTTTGGGGGTATCCAAGATCGGTCGGCCAACGGCACGGGAACTGGCCAGCCAATGGACCAGATTTTTGTATTCGATGCGCTCAACCACAAGTGGTATACGCAAAAAGCAACAGGCGAGATTCCTGGGATGAGAGGGCGGTTCTGTGCGGGTGTGACTTGGGCCGCTGACCAGTCATCTTACAATATGTGAGTTTAATGTGCGACATGTCTCCAAGTTCCTCGCTGAACTCTCACCAAGCTACATGTATGGCGGTGCTACGGTCCCAGACGATCCCGGCCCCGGGTATGACGACCTCTATGTCCTCACGATTCCCACCTTCACCTGGGTAAAGATGCCAACCCACGGCAGCAACGGAAGCGGAAAATTTCCACGTCACTCCCTCTCCTGCAATATGGCTCCGGGCGGGGCCCAGATGATCGTCATCGGCGGTCAATTCCCGCTCACGCAGGATTGCGACTCCCCGGACGCATGGGGAACTCATATTATCGACCTTGGGAAGCAGAACCCAAGCAAAGATGTATGGGATGTCTACAAGCCGAACAAGACCGCATATATTGTGCCGGAAGAGATCATCGCCGTTGTGGGTGGAAGCGGCAACGGCGGTGCGACTAACACGATCCCAACGAACGGCTTTAACTCCACTGAGCTAGGCCTACTAATTACTTGCAAGGCCGACATTCCCATCCGCACTCCGATAAGGGCTTTCAATGCTTCCGGTACACCAGCGCCGAATACACACTTTCCTACGGGTGCGATTGTCGGCATTGCCGTTGGAGTTGCAGTATTGGCTATCGCCCTGGGGATGGGATGTTTCTTCCTCTGGCGCAGTCGTCACCAGCGACGACTTCACAACGGGACGTCACCGCCAGGCCCAAAGCATGTGTACCACGCTCATAGCATGTCGGGAGCATCGCCATCACCGCCATACGGCCACTCTACCCTCTCATCTTCCCCTTCTCAACTTGCATATCAGCACTCGCCACACCCAATGTCTGCACATGCTCTATCCCCGCAAATGGGGTCACCGGTAGAGCTACCCTCTGAGTCTTTGCACTCAGCATCGGTGGCTGGGGATGGCTCATCCAGACTGACGAATATTCCGTCCACTGTGTCGTACCCGCCACAGCGGGCATATTTCCCAGAGACTGCAACGCTGATGAACCAGCCGCATTATGATGCAGATGGCAATATGTGGATGCCGCAGGTGAGCATGGTGCAACTGGCCACGGCGACGAGGGCGCCGCTGCCCGAGTATACCCCAACGGGGAGCAAGCAGGAAACGATATCGCAGCCGGCGTATGAACCACAGGAACTGAACGCGGAACCGGAAAAGGGCGGGGAGGAAAGCATTAAGCACTAGATTTGTAACAACTCAATTCCATGCTAAACAACATGTCGCAACCTATAATACCCATCCCCTTTTCACAGGCCCATTGAGCCCGAGGTACATGTGTTTAGCGAAAGATCAACTAACTTACACAAAAACAACCTATTTCACGTCATCATCGATAACGGAACTTATGCAACTAGGTCATTTCCTATGATACCGCTAGGTTGGATTACTGCTGACGGACACGTTCAAAGTGACTACATTTAGATGAGTCGGAATACGAGCACCGACACTTAGCTGAGCGACATAAGCCCCAAGCCTTCCATTGCCGATCGTGTTTGGGACAAAAGGTACACCACCTAGCGTGTACCCTCAACAACATTCCATCATCCGGCGTGACCATCAGTATCGCCGATAATCAACGGCGTAGCGACTCCAGTGTCCAGTGGCAACGAGAACTCTTGATATTAACACTGACGGCTTTCTCAGCCTCACTCATGTTCATTGAATCTAGAATTCCCAGTTCACTTCTGCAATTGCCCGATGGCCCTTCCGTTAACGTTGGTATGAGTCGAAAGAGCGTCCATGAACATAATTAGCTGCCATCATGTTCCCCAGCCAGATCAAAATACAACAACCTACGTCAACGCTCGCGGGGGTCCGTAAACAAAACATAGTCGTCTAAGGCTAGTACAGCAGTTTTCCAATATATATACCAGCAAATTTGGATTGCGTTCGACCACGCTGCTGTGAAGCCGAAGGGTATGCAGCCACTGTTCTCGTGATTAGAGCACTTATTTTTGGTACAGAAACCAATACGAGTAATATTGAGTACTGCTACCAAGAATCCAGTTTGAAGCATCGCTGACTTTTTTTGCATGTGGTGAAAATTTCCGATACCAGCATCCCCCGATTTAATGGCTCTTACAGAGCTTTAATGGGACGACCTCTAACTTTGTTCGGTTCGCACTCGCACATGCATTTATCCCGTTTGCTAATTGCGGAGTTGCCATATGTATCGGGCATGAAATGGCAGTACTTAGAGAACCAATTGGCGCCACGATACTACTTACCGCAACAGAGTCCTGGTTCAATATGAAGTGATTGAATCTCAACTGTGATTTTGAGTTCGCTGCCTACGCATCCATCTGCCTCAAAGTGGACTCGTGTCGTTCTGCCCGCGATTGCCAACATGGTATTACCGAGGCTCTTACGTGTACCGCTCGGGGCACAGCTCTGACGTTACCACCGGGGACCTTTGGCATAACGCGACGGCGTCCCGGCCTTGGGACACCCCGTCGGTCTGAATCTGAAACTTCAGGACGACGACCAATCCGCTTCTTGCAACTCAAGACCAGCTGTCGTCGTCAGAACGCCGGCGGTCCGTCGGTTCAATTAATTCAATGGGCGACCCGTGCGACAACGTGCCTTTTTCAGCTTCTTCTCATGTCTGTTTTGGATGAAGGTCGAGTTCCCACTGGCCGGCTCGCGAACTTGACATTTTGCCTCGGATCCCTAAACTTTCCTTGGACGACACGGATCAGCAGGCAGTTCCAAGTCTATCAGATTCCAATACCATTTCGTACCGATTTATATTCGGCCGCCAAGCACGTTTCTACTTTTTGTTCTAGCGCAAGGCTATAATCAAACGAATGGGAGAAACTACGATTACACAAATGGATTTGCTGTGGTCGACGACGAGCGCATCCTGCGCCCTGGCCGTAGTAGCTGGCCTCTTATCGCACTGGCTGTACTTCATCCGCGGCAACCGGACCATGGAAACCGCCTACATCATACTCTTTTACATCGTCGCATTGGCGCTCCTGCTGCTAAAGACCACATCATCGCAGGGACTGTACTACGGCACCATCTGGTACGTAGAGATTTCCGGATCTTACTTCCTGGCTCTCTTCACAAGCATCGGCATCTACCGTCTGTTCCTCCACCCCCTCCGCCGTATCCCCGGTCCATTCCCGTCCAAGGTTTCCAAGCTCTACACGGTATGGCAAAATAGGGACTGGAAGCTGCATCGGCGCTATCTGGAAATGCATGACAAGTATGGAGACTTTGTGAGAATTGGTAAGAGCGCCTCTTACACGCGTGAATGTAACAATGATAAATAGGATCTCTGGTAACCTGGGCAGGCCCGAACGACATCTCAATCGTCAGCATTGAGGCCTTTACCAAGATTCACGGCCCACAGACGAAATGCTCCAAGCGCGACACAGCCTTCTACGACGCCGCGCTCATTAAGGGGGAGTTGAATCTGGATTCCCTCTGGCACAACGAGCAGCACCGCGACAGGCGTAAGGTTTGGGATCAGGCCCTGGGAAGCAAAGGCACGCTCTGCCCCTCTCCGTTACTCTTCCTCGCGGAAATCAGACAAGGCACACAAGGAACTGACACCCACCCCAGCCCTCGAGAAATACGAAGAAGAGACCCGCGCCGTCCTGCGAACCTTCCTCTCCCGCCTCGGGGAGCTCCAAGGAACGACGGTTGACGCCACGCTCTATGCCAAGCTCATCCCCTTTGACAACATGGGCCGCGTCGGCTACAGCCGGGACTTTGGCACCGTCCGCGACGGCAGGGAAGATCGCATGCTCGACGTTATCGAGTCGGCGTTCAAGATCATGGCGCGATGCGGCCAGGCGCCGTGGCTGGTCGGGCCTTTTTCCAAACTGCCAAGGTTCGGGTTAACGAAACAGTTGGAGGATTTGGGGGTGAGGCTTGTTGACGAGAGGATTGCTGTGAGTTCGGTGCCATCTCTTGGAGTATTGGGCCATATGTTTGAGCTGATTCTTGACGTGTAGGTAGAGTCGGATGAGACACATGACATGATCAAGTACTTCCTTAACGACCACAACTCCGAGAAGCCGAAGTCGTTTCACAGCGTCAACGTCATGTACAGCGACTCGCAAGCGATCCTCATTGGAGCCACGTGAGTACTCGTTTTCCCACATGTTCTTCTCGCGGACCTGCCCCAGAGTCCGACTCACCCACTAACCCAATTCCAGAGACACCATCTCGTGCGCCCTCGCACACGCCTTCTTCTTCATCGCCCGCGACGCCAACTTCCGCCGCCAGCTGTACGAAGAGATCGCAACCGCATACGGAAAAACCATCCCGGGAGAGTTTGCCATAGCCGATCTGAACAAGCTCGAGTTTCTGGATGCTGTGATTCATGAAACTCTCCGCATACAGGCTCCTGCGGCGCTCAACGGGCCCCGGATCACGCCGCCCGAGGGTATTGTGCTGGATGGGATGCATATCCGGGGGGCGTGACGCTATGCACGCCGCTGCATTGCTATCACCGGAGTCAGTACTGCTTGCTTCATGACGGGTTATGGGGATGGGACAAGACGGGACGAAATGCTGACCAGGCCCAGGCCCTAAGTATTGGAAACAGCCGAACAATTTCATTCCCGAGCGGTGGACAACGAGGCCGGACCTGATTCTGGATCGCAGGGCTTTTGTGCCTTTCAATTTCGGTGAGCTGGCAAAGTGCCGCCCTCCTCCCTTTGCGTTTGTAAAGGCCTCGGCAACTAACGAGCACGCCCAGGACGGTTCGACTGCGTGGGGCGACGTCTGGCGCTGAACGTCCTTCGTCTCACCATAGCTTATACACTCTGGAACTACGACTTCCAGTTCGCCCCAGGGGAAGATGGCAGAGCGTTCGAGGATGAAGCACAGTACCAGTTGATCGTCAAGCCGGGGAAGCTGGACTGTGTGTTCATTAAACGGTCAGGGGCGACTGCATGAACAGTCGGGCCAGAAAGGAAGGGGAAGGGGATAACGGTTCTCCATTTGCTGTCAGTCTGGAACACGGTCTTTGGCGTAAAACGCCCGAAAAAGAAAGGGGTAGGGAATAAGTAGGGTGTTTATGGGACCGCCGGAAACGAAGAAATGAGCCACGACTTAAGAAAGGAGAATGTGCGATACTCTTGGGACATTCATTCATTTATTCATATCAACATGTAACTGGGTCGATGTCATGTTTCTGCTTGCAAGGCTCATCGTGACCTTATCTTTCTTCGCTGGTACCTCTGAGCGCATCCACAGCCAACCTCACCCTGAAGTCCGAAAGCATCAAAAATAAAAAATAAAAAAGGCATAGCAACAACGATACCTTGTTGTTGTCGGGCTCTCGTAGGGCACCGCCCTCCTCCTTTGCGGTTATAGCCTCTTTTTCCATTAAAATATCGAAAACTTCGATTGTGCACCTCAGCCAGAGCGAGGGGTTAACGCGCATCCTCTCGTTCTCAAGAAAGGTTCCGTAGTCGAAGAGCATGCTGTCAACGGTGAATCGATATTTGCAGGTTTATCGACGTCTGAAGCGGGAACCCCTCCCGACGGCCTTCTAGGCGGCGTCTTCTTTCGGAATGGGCTTGACGGCGAACACTGGACTCCACCTCGTCGCGGCCCACGCCAGGTCCCTGTCGTGGATGTCGGCCGGCATGTACGCCCACCGTTTTTCGTTCTTGAGCCACGTCCGGCCGGGTAGGTAGGCCTCGAGCAGGTCGTAGCCGTCCCGCTGGAAGGGCATATCGGCCGTCGCGGGGCCGTCGCGCTCCAGGAAGTGGTCGGTACCGGACTCCGCGTCCGCCTTGGACATGCCGAAATGGCGACGCTGGTTGCCCTTGTTCTCGGTTTGTCGCTTGATGGAGGCGCACGTGTTCTTGAGATGCTGCTCAAGCAGACATACGTAGGTCAGGGGGGAATCGAGGGCTCTGCGCACGATGCGGTCCGTCTTCTCCTTGAGCATTTCGTTCCATTCCGGCTCCTCCCCGCGCGGGAGGACGGGGATCGGGTTACCGGTAGCAAGGTCAGCCTGCCAGTGGTTGAAGTCAACGATTGTGAAAAGGGCTTGCCAGCGCAGAACACATGTCAGGCACGTGCAGGCCTTGAAAGGGTCGGGCTGGGGGATGTGGCGGTATCGTCGGTGGATGCCGAGCATCTCAATCCTGGTGTCGTACTGCAGCACAGCATGGAGCTTGGGGTCGATGTCATCGAGGCTGACCGGTAACCGGAAACATCGTTCAAGAACGGAGTATCTCGTGGAGATGATGTAGCGCGACAGGAGCGCCTCACTGTGCTTGACAAGCTCTCGGAGTGTGTGGCAAGCCTGGCCAATCTTGTAGATGTCGCTAGGAAGCATGTGCATCATGATGCTGACGAGGATCTCATTCGGGAGATGGAGGAAGTGAGTCGGCTGGCGGCATGACGATTTGGCGGTCTTTTTCTGGAGCTTCCGCTTCATCCTCTCCGTCTTCTTGGACCGGACGTTGAGCGAACCCTTGGCGGTTACCCGGTCGCTATCGGTGACTGCTCTGGTGGCTTGGCTGGGCCTCGGTGGTTCGCCAGTGATCAGCTCTCCAGTGCTGGTGTAGTAGGAAGTAGTCCCGTCGCTGTTGATGACCGTCATGATGGCATCTTCGCCAACTGATTTTGTTTCCGGTGGCTGTGAAGGTGACACCCGGGGCGTTGTAGAGACTTTACTGGGGGCGAGCTTCTGAGCTTGTCCGGTCGTTTCCTTGCTGGACGCTTCCTGGCCAATCTGGATGCGTTTGAAACCCTCTGCAAGAGAGTCCGAGTTTCCTTTGACACTTTTCATTGTGGTCTGCATCATCTTAAAGCCCGGCGTTGTGGCTCCTTTTATTGCTACGTTGTGTTGACCCAAAGGTGAACAAGGTCGAAGTTGAAGGTTGAGGACAGACCAGGTTCGACGCCATTAAAGCTGATGAAGCTGCCAAAAGGATATGGGCGGTCGCTGCGGTGTGGGGGATGCGTCATGCCGACGGTATCCAATCAGCCATAAGGTACGAAGCACAGACCAGGTTGTGGTGGCTCCCCGCTGGCCAAACAGCGCGATCGTCTTCTCGCGCAGTGCTTCGGCGTCACTTTCTGCTCCAACGTCCGCCTTACGTCAGCAGCCGATGACCTCACCTTGGGAACACAATTCCCTTGTCCACTTTATGGTGATGTTCGGCTTAAGATCCGTCACCTTAAACCTAAGAATGTCAAGGTTTTTAGGAATCAGGCAGATGACCAAGTCTTGAACACAACAACACGATTGTGGGGATGATGGCTTTCTTCCATTCGCTGTTAGTCTAAGTAATTACTGAGACCATGTTCATTATCAAAACCCTTACCCCCCATCCATCTCGATGCAACCATTTGATATTTGGTGGCACGCCTTCAACTTTCTTGGAGCTAGGAGCTGGTGGGTGTAGTAGTTCCAGCCCCAAAAAACAAAAGATAAATCTACTGGTCTCCCGAATCCTCAAGCATCCAAATTCCAGTAACTCTTCCCCGATCCGTACCCATGTCTTAATTCCCAAAGCAATTTGTGTCCATGCCTTTCCATCAAACGCCATCGCGACATTCTTTTTGATCATCTAACTCTCACTGGTAAGCGCAGACTGCTTCGAGCGCTTAGATGGAGCAAGGGTCGGTGCCGTAGCGGAAGACCCAGACTGGGGATTGTTCGCCGCCGGGCGGGTAAACGGCCTTGATGGCCTGACGAGAAGCCTCTGCCTGCGAACGCCAGCTCCCGAATCGAATCTCGATGTGGCCCATCTCGTTGTTGAGAACATGGGTAATGATCTCGTCGATCTCGTATTCGAAGTGGTTGTTGAACCATCGCAAAAGAGTGCGGGGATTGACAAAAGAGGGATCGCCCATGATGATGACGACACGGGAACGGTTGCCGCCAACGTCCTCCTCAGCCTTCTTGGTGCGGTTCAAGCAAACATGCGCAACGTAGCCCCCGATGATCAGACGGCGCTGGGGGTTGGTGCAGTAAGCGTAGAACTTTTGAGCCGCTGCAAGTTCAAAAAACACCACCTTCGCGGCCGAGGTGATGTGATTGCCGGTCGGAGGGCTAATGACACAGGCCCAAACCCGTCCCATGCCATGGATTTGGCCGAGCAGTTCGTTGCAGGTGACGCTCGGAGGCAGGTTCGTAATCCAGAACGCCACATTCTGGCTGTCGGGAATTGGAGCCGACTGGTTGCGCGCGATCGTGGCGTCACCCGCGTAGTTTGGAGATATTCCAAGCCGCGCCTTCAGCTCCCGCTGGCTGTCGAATTCAGGGTGGTGAAAGGGCCGGGCCACCGCGTTCATTGGGCGGAACGAGCCAGCGGGAGCGAAGGAGACGAGTCCCTGGCCCGCGATTACACCCGCCGTATTGGCAGCATCACCAGTCAACTGAGCCGAGCCGAAGCTGGTAGCGGCAGACGGGCAAGTGTCAACTGGCGCTTGACGAGCCGCGCGGTCGCGAGGAACCAAGCCGTTGCCTTGGAACGTGCTGAAGGTCTGGTTGAAACTCTGGGCCGAGCCTGGGTGCTGTTGCTGTGCAGCAGAATGGCGAGCAGGGCTGGCACTGTTCGAACCAATGTTGAAAGGACGGCGGAGGAATTTGACGAGACAACGCCTGCAGTTAGCTTGGCTGGAACCAGGCGGGTGACGGCTGAAGTTGTTGGGAGGAACAACGCCCGTCGAGGGGCCAGGAGTCACGGGCTCTCTGACGGGGCGTTGAAACTGGCCCTCATTGGTTCGGCCTCGGAGGTGAGGCTGAACGCAGCCACCATTTGAACCGGATGACTTCAAACCGCCAATGGCAGATTCGGCCTGGGTTTCGATTCTGGCTTCAATGTGGTGGTTGGAAGTGTGGTCGGCAGAGAATCGAGTAGATGAGGCGGAGGAGCGTGGGGTATAAATACTCTGAAGGGCCTTGCCCTTGCCCTTGCCTTTGATAGCGGCAGCAGCAGTGGTGATATCGAATTCACCCTTGGTGGCCATGGAGCCGGGTGCTTTCGCACCACCGGTGGCCTGCGGCAAGCGTTTGGCGGCACCGGTGTCGCTGTCTTTGTTGGTGACAGTGGCATCGTGTATCCAAGACTGACTCGACCCGGAGTCACGGCGAGATGACTGAGCATTGGGAGCAATAGAATAATCGCTAACGCCCTCGACATACTGAATGCTGCCGGCGCCAAAAGTGAGTTGAGAAAACGGCTGCACAAGCACACCACCAGGTCCCTGGGCATTGAGAGGTGGCTGGGCACCAGGCAAACTGTTGTAGTCCATGATCTGGGCATTCTGGTCTATGATATGGCCAGAAGATGCCATGCGGTTGTGACCACCAGCCGGAACGTTCGTGCAGGTAGCAGGAGGAGCGAAAGCCGCAAGTTGAGTATCAGAGTTGGGGCTGCCAGGGGTGGTAATAGTGTTCACGGCGCAGGTGTTCTGGTCGGTCTTCTGGACGCCGCTGTCATGGCTGTCAGAAGTGGCCGCGTTGTTGTTGACGACCTTACGAGTGTAGGCGTTGCCGACTGGAGGAGTGCATTGACCAAGAGAAGCGCCACCCTGAGAGGAGGAAGAAGTAGACTGAGTGCTGGCCATTGCGAGTGTTGTTGATGTGATGAAAGGTGAATCTGAGTGGTATCGATCGATTTCTGTTATTACAGTCCAGTTAGTCAGTGAAGAAGAAGTGTGGGTTCCAGCCGAATAGCCTTACCTGTGTGAAAAAGACCTGCTCAGGAGTGTTGAAAGGCCGTGTTCAATGAAAAAGACTTGTGACCGCAGTGGAGCTTTGAGGTGAAAGATCTGCTAGATAAGAGTTACAATTTCATCTCATGGATGCCAATATTGGAAGTTGCAAAAAGCAAAAAAGGACCAAAGTGCCGGTGGGCTTTTGTTGACTGGAGTGAGGAGAAAGGTGAAGTCGGATCGTAGGAGGGATGGGAGGTTTTATGTCGTATGGGTAACTAGGACAAGGGGCCAAAGTAGCAGGAGTGCAGCGATCGGATTCACAAAGCCCAGGCAGACACCCAGGTAGGAATCTAAGGCAGATGAGAAGAAAGTGAACGGGTGTTGGCTTACTTAGGGTGTTGAATGAAGTATCCCAATGGATTTTTCTTGACATGTAGTTCGTTGCTCAGCGTCGGAAGGATAATTCTGGAAAAGCGTACGAAAAAACCTGAAACCCAGTTGCCTTAACGTGATGGTTAGTCAAGCGAGTGGCGACCAGTAAGAAGGACATTGGTCCCTAGTGCAAGTGGAAATGAAAAAGCAGAGAGAAACGGGATTAAAGATCAAGTGAAGAAGTCAAAGACTGGGATGGAAGAGACGTAGGCCTAGTGAAGTTGGCAGAAGAGAGAAGTCTACAGGTGGAAGGAGCAGGAGAAAAGGTGGTGAGGGTAAAGCGTTCAAATTAGGAGATGAGTTACCTTGCGTTGGTATTCGTTAGTGACTGCCAAGATGATAGACGAAGTACTACGAGATGGAATCCCGATCGTTGTGCGGACGTGGGCTTGTTGCAAAGCAATGCGTTAATTCTCTGCCTACACAGGACCGAAGAACTATCTAAAAAGGTATGTAATAGCGGGAATAGCGATTGCGACAAGGGAAACGCGGGAGAAGTGGGACTAAAGAGATCAAGTAGTGTGAAGCAAATTTGTGAGTCGTGAAAAAGTGAAGAAGACCGAGGTGAAGGAGAAGAAGAAGGATCAGTCTTGGTGGGGTCACTCCAAGAGAGTAAAGCCAAAAGGCGGGTAGTGTGTAATTAGCGTGTTCTGGAAGGAGCGAGGGAAAAATTAGGATAGGTGAAGACACACTCGGATGATAGACAGCTCGGTAATTCTTTTTGTTGCGGTGGACAGCTGGGTGTCTGCCTGTGATGTGAGCAGGGTGGAGAAAAACGACAGGGCGGAAACGAAAATTTGGACAAAGAGTGAAGAGTTGTGGAGGTCAATCAGTGACTTCAATCAACTAGCCTGGCAGAAGAATTGGTGAAGTGGGTGTGGAGGGAGCGTGCGTTCAGTAGACAAGAGGACCAGAGTATGTTGTAGTGAATCCAGCACAGATATAACGGAATATAACCTCTATCTACCCGGCCTTGTGTCCTGCGTCCTGTATTCGGTTTGTCCTGATGTAGGCCTGTGAAATGATTCAAATGAATCCCCTGACTACGCGAAGTTGGATGGTCTCAAACCCATATCGGAAACTAGATGGCGCAAAAACAAATGTTTGATGGACGAAAGGGAGGTTTAATAGGGAAAGATTTATGACGCTTAATGTCGAGTAGTCGTGAACAAAGAAAGTGCGAATATGTGAACTTGATGTGACAAAGGCCTAAGTGGAGAGTGTTGTTCACTTGACATATGTAAAAGATAATGGTTGAGGTTAAGATGGAGACTGAAGACGTAATAGCAACAAGTTGGGAGGGATGAACAGTGATAATGCTCCCTCTTTATAGTCAATGGGATCACAATGAGAGGGTTTTGAAAGCTGAGCTGACGAAGCTACTGAGAAAAGTACGCGAGTCTCTGCATACCCAAGGGAAACGGTGCATGCAGTGTGAAAGTGATGTTCAACACTTCACTCTCTACCGTGCGCTTCATGAAATCTCGGAACGAGAAGACTTTGCTGGAGAAGACTGTCTTGATAAAAACATTGGGTTGAGTTCGAGTAGGATGAACTGCTTCGAATGTGAAGAAAGAAATTTGCAGGGCATGCAGCTAGGACAAACTACTTAGGCAGGGAGCTCTTGAAGAGGCCAGAAAACTATGTGGAGAGTATATCTGGGCTATCAGGAGGAACTATTGATGGCAAGATGGTAAGTGACAGCAAGTTTAGTCATTTCACACGAATCTTTAATTAGATGTCGTTCAGAGAACATCAGTACATGGAATAGCAAGAAAACAGTCGGGATGATGTAAGTGTTGCTTTAACGCAGTACTGGTCTCACTTTTGACATCTTTACTATCCGTGAACTTCAGTGATAGAAAAGCTGTTTGGTAGATACTGCTACTCCTAACAGAGACTCAAGCAGGTCGTGAGATTAAGAACATGGGATGGGATGATGCTGGATGGCAGACGTGACTAAGATTGTGCTCTACAAGATTAGATTCACTAGTATCATCCCCATACTGAAGGAAAGATTGTTTCTAGAAGACGGTTCATGATGATTCAGAGTGGATGTTAAGAGCTTAAGGCAAGGGGGAATTTGAACGCGACATATCCCACCGCTTCCCAAACACTCCAGACATCAGGAGATTACTAGAGCGTTCATGAGCGACAAAGATGCGAGTTCCATGTACCTCTTTGTCAAAACGACGTTAACTGGGAAGAGTGCTGTTGGGTACTATGAAATCAATATGAAAGAGTTGAGATAGATATTCAATGTTCAAATCTGGAGTTCAGGTTACATTCTGATTGTGGCATCAGATATCTCAGTAGTTTGCAAAAGTTATTTTTTGACGAATCAATGCTAGATCTTTGTAGAAAGAGAACACATTAGGACTTCACCTCAACTCGACGGAGTATGTCAATAAAGAAGATCTAACGGAAGTCAATAACAATCCTCTAACTAACAAAGACAGCTATGAGAGCTTCCAGCTGGTTCTACTGGTTACTAGACATTTGATTAGAGACGGAAACCAATAATTGGCTTCCAGACACAGAACTCAACGTTAACAACAGTAGGAGCGTTGCCAATAAACTAGTAATCTCAAACTGTGATATTAGTAACGGATTACCACTCCGACAGTAACTGAGTTCCCTGAGCGATCGGAAGCATTGCAAAGAGTGTATTGTTATCAGGGTCTAATGCAGGCTTTGTCGCTGGAGCAAGATGTGTTAGATGGGTATCAGTTACGCTGCGCATCAAGTTCAACATTAGGGCCGCAATACCTTCTTTGAGCCGACTGAGCTTTGAAGAACAGTCCATGAACTTATTTATCTAGCAACAAGAAGTTAATTGTTGATATTTTTAGATAGTGTAAGTATTACGAATTAAGTCCCGTTATTGTCATGAAATCCGAACAATAACTCTCGGTTTCTTTGGCAGTCTCAGGCGGCTTTGACGGCTCCAAAGCTCTGGAGCCCAAATTTTCTGCAGCCAAACAATCTGTCGAACAAAATAGATCCAAAATGCACCGTTTGCCAACATTTCTCTTTTTTATTCATCTGACCATTGCGGTGGGAAAGACCAACCATCGTTTATGGATTCAAGCGCTTTATCCTTGTCCCCACGTGACGCGATAGCTTGTGCGCATGAAACTACGCCGAGCCACATGGGAACTACGGGTACTCAACGGTCTTGTTGTTCAGGCAACAAGGAATATGACACGAAAGTGGTCAATATTTACCCGGGGGTGTTAGTCAGCGCCGCGCAGAGCTAAACACCCCCTCCTCACGGAGGGGGCAAAAAAAGGGGGGTTACAGCAGGAAAAGGGGGGTTACAGCCTGTCCCCACTTTGTCCTAACTTTTGTTATATTCTCACCAAAACAATCAATTATTCAGACATTTCATTAACAAATATCAACACTATTTAAACCAACTATCTTTATCTAACATAGTTAATATGCCTCGCTAATATGACAAGAATATGACTACTGCTAAAAAGGCTACCAAAGTGGTATTTGCTGCCTAGCAACAAGCTGGCCACTTTGATCGGGCTGGCAAGCAGATATCTGCTATATTTATCTGCAAGGTTGCCTGGCAGTATAGCGTATCTGATACGTCTATTCACTGGCATCTCTGGGCCCTTTAGGCTGGCTGTAACCTCTGGGTAAGCCTACTGGCTACCCTTGGCTGGCCCTGGGCGTTAATGGATGCTGAAGACGCGGCTTTTGTGGCCTTTGTTATATAGCTTGCTGAAGCTGGCTTCCTAGCCTTACTAATATAAGTCAAGGAAATAGCTAACTACCTCTATGACCTCTAGGGTATCTGCCTTGTCTTGGAGTACTTTGTCTATACTTGGCTTGCTAACTACCTAGAGCTTTAAAAGAAGTCTACTATTAAGCCGGTTAAGCTATACCAGAAGGGAATAGAGCTAAATCTGGCCTTAATAGAGGACTTTTTTGCTTAGTACTAGGTAATTATATGGGAGTATAACCTTGGCTTTTCTAATATCTGGAACGTTAATAAGTCTAGGTGTTAGATTAGTTGCTTTAGTAGCTAGATACACGTAATACTACTTTAGTAGCTACTAAAATATAATTACTTATTAGAGGTTATTGATCCTATAAATTAAGAGTTATGTATACTTATTGGATATAGTAATACTATTAGTGATAATATACTAAGATATCTAATCTTTAAAATGTAGCTAGTTATTACTTAGGTAGATTATTAGGTCTAAAAAAGTATTTACTTTATGTATTTATTAATTAGCTTTTTAAACTAAGAGGTTATAATAAACTATATATAGTACTTTAATACTAAGTTATATATAAAGTTAATAAAGTATTACTATATAAGCTATTTACTTAGGGATTATTTTAGTGTTAATATATATAGCTATTATAACTATAACTTATATCTATTTAATAAGGAACTAAGTAAAGTATACTAATAATACTATAACTATTAAGATACTATTAAGAAGTTAAAGTAG